GAGTATCTGTTTATGCACATATGTATGTATATATGTACACCCATATGAATATATGCAGATAGGTAGGTAGGTATGAAACTAGGTATGCATGTAGGTAGGGTTATGCCAGTATATTTTCAAGGCTTGTTGATTCACGTGTTTGTTTGTTAATTTATTTATTTGCGTGTACATACATGCATGCGCGTTTGTGCTGAGGAATGTGGACAAGTTCAGTTGTGGTTAGTATTGAGACGCTGATGAAGTCGAAATTGTATTCGAATTGGAGGAAGGTATTTTAAGAAATGAAATTCAATAACATCTACTACTCAAGGTCTACTCATTTGATTGTGAGTAAATTCGACTAGCAGTATCTTAATTGCCCAATAATGACTGAAATTGCCAGTTAAGACATAATCATAAGACACGGAAGAATTGCAAATATTGGCAGTCGAGTTCTGGTGTGTGTCTTTGTGTTTTCGCGGTCAGGCGCTGAGAAATTATGCTGTATTTTTTATTTTTCGAATTAACCATTGTTTTCGTATCACCAATTATACTCTTTTTCACGTGGCTCTGACGTGCACCCCATCGCTAAGGCATCCCGTCCGGCCAGTTGCCACGTATGAAGCGTCAATTTGACCGTTTTCATCTTCCGCCCGGCAGATTGACACGACGAGTGTGTGAAAACAGCCGCAGCCGTAGGACCTAAGATCGTGTGACCGGTTACCTCTGTCTGTCAGGCTGCCCTACACGTTGACATAACGACAGACCGACACACCGACAGACAGACAGACAGACAAGCCAACACAGGGACGGATTGAGAGAGACGCAGAGACTGGCAGATGCATGCATCGGCGTTTACGATTGGACGGTAGAAGGCATTTAGTTGGTATGTCTTCCTGCCGTTCTTCCTGCCCACTTCATCTCGGTCTGCCCGGCCAGACGCCTCCGATCTGCCTGCTCCTGGCCGCAGTCTGATTGGTCTGAAGCTCGAGTCCCACACCCATCGCGGGGTCCGTTTGTCGGGCGACGGTGACGCCATATTGTGAGTGTGTGTGGATGTGTGTGTGTTTGTGTGGGTGGGCGTGGAAACTGGGCGACTGTGACGAATCGCGTCTTGCGGCCGGGTTCTGGCGGCCTCGGGCATTTGTCGAGTGGGTAAAAGTTGGTCTTGCAGAACGACGTCGACAAAGTGTCAAATGAATCTGCCCTCGTCTCCCTTCCTCACGCCCTGCGCAACCGGCCTCCCCTCGGCCCTCTTCACCTGCGCATGGCCCACTCTCTTGAGCCGCTCGTCCGACCGGCCCAACGACAACTGCCTCGCCAACCGGCTCGTCAACTCCACCGGTTCCGCCAGTCAATCGAGTCTGGACGACGCAGTCTTCCCCGCCGTCCCATTCACGAGTCCTCTTTCGCTCGACTCCTGTCGTCTTGACAACCACTCGTCGACAAGACAGTCACCGTCTGACTTGGCGCCTGCCGCTTTCGCCACACTCCTCTCCACGCCCTGTCTCGACTCGCACCTACCGACACACACACACGCATCCACTGAGGCCGACTGGAGTCTGGTGAAGACGATCTCGGCGCTGCCCACCGCCCAGTTGCCCGTCTTACCGGCCGCTCCTCGAGCTCCCCTCCACTCACCTGCCGTCGCCATGGATACTCCTCTCTTGCCGAGCACAGAGCATCCAGCGCCAACGTTTAACGCCTCTTTCCTGGCCGCCACCGCTTTGGCCTGCCTCAACGCCACTTCACCAGCCTCTCCACTCTTTTGCTCCTCCTCCTCCTCCTCCTCCGCTTCCTCCGCTTCCTCCGCTTCCTCCGCCTCCTCCGCCTCGTTTGTGCCGTTTCTACCCTCTCCCGGCGTGTCTCTGTGCCACCCGACTTGTCTGAAACGTCTGCCCTGCCCGCCTGAGGCGTGGCGGCCCGTCGGCCCGAGCCCCGTCGTCGGGGAGGCGGTCCGCGAGACCCTCCTACCCACACAGACAGCCAGACGTGCTGTACCCGCCGCGAGTTTGGCCAACCTGGGATCTCGTGATCCTCTCGACTCGGTCGCGTCGTGCGTGCTCGCCAGCCTCGGCTGTACCTCTTTCGCCTCGAGGCTGACTGGCGCTGCCGGCGATGCGGGAAGACGCCTCCTTCAGGCGGCCAATCTGCCCGTTTTGCCGGCTTTTTGGCCCCCGCAACCGTTTGTCTCTCCTGACGCCGCAGAGCCAGACGCTCGGGACTCGAACTGTCGGTCGTCAGGGCTGCCGCCGACGGTCGGCCAACGGGCCTGGCGTCCGATCGTGTCTGCCGGCTCCGGCTCCGGCTCCGATTGGCCCAGTTGGCCGGTCGAGTCCGTCGGGCCGGTCGGAGAGACGGGGTCGTGTCTGGACGTGGCACGATCGTGTCTCGAGGCGAGCGGCAGCGGGGACTCGGGCAGCGCGGGCAGATGCGCCGACTCGAGTGGACCCGTGAGTGTCGGCAGCGGCATCGGCGGCTGTTGCGAAGGGGCTACCACCACCGAAGAGGACAGTCCTTGCGTTCACCTCCTTTCCGGCCGGGAAGCGGCAGATCTGTCGTCCGCCAGCACGCCGCTCGACATTCACGGCGCTGAGGGTAATTCGAGTTATGCACATGCCTACTTACAATGACAATAAGTAATACATTTAAGTGAAATGTTGGTAAATTTTTATCTCAGCCTCCGTCAATATCTGAAGCTACTTAGGGCGAATATAATTAGCATGAAAGATCTACTACTCAAACAGAATATAAGTAAGGTGAGTCGAATTCACTAGTTTAGTTTGTCAAAAAATTGTGGTACCAGACTTGGATTTTTACGTCTGCCTTGCCAACCAATGGCTGCCACGGCGTTGTGGCGTAGTGCTGGCATATCGGTCGGGTTACAAAAGGAATTCATTGGAATTGTGGCAAAAAAACTCAACTGTCCACCGTTATCACCTTATGCGACAGGGCGAGTACATTTCCCATTCAATAGCTACTACTTATGCAGAAAGTAAGTTATGAAGACCAAGATGGTG